CAGTTCTTTGAGACAAAATTCAATTGAGCAAAAAGGATGAACAAATGGAAAAAAGGAAGGCCCTTACACTTTGCCTTGCCTTCCTGCTTCTCCATAATTTATCTATATATCATGCATTATCATGCATTATTCAAACATTGTCCTTCTACGGCCTTGCTTCAGCGACCTTTGAAGACGTGTGTAGGTGGCCGGCTCTCTGTCACTGATGCTGACATGCGGGAGGATGTGCTTCCAGTGCTTCTGCCAGAGGTCATGAAACCGGAAACTGCACGGCCAAGGTTTTTGTGTGACATGCCTGTTGCAACTTTAGACGAGGGAACAGAGGTGTTCAGCTTACCAAATAGCTTTGCAAACACACATAACAACCCAGAGGCCAGGTAAGGCAGGTAAGGAGAGGTAACAGTAGAAGAGTGGGGCCACCCAACAAAGTCAGGTTTGCTAAGCTGTGAGCTGAACCCCTCGAAACCAATAGACGATAGCTCTCCTCTTCATTGTGAGCCTGCACAGGAAGCCGCACGGTGTCTCAGCCTAGAGCGCATTGCAGAAATACAGCGAGCGACCAGAACGTTCCTGGTCTTTGATACAGGCAGGATTCCTGGTCTTTCATGAAACACCTTGAAAGTCAAAGCTTTGCAAGGCGGAGGCTCAGTCATGGCCAGGGGGGATGCGGCGTCTGCTGGTTTGTGGTGGCACCGAAGTGAGACGAGCAGAAGCCGCTGCGCGAGCGCGAGAGCGCACGGTGCAAGGAAACCGACATCTGGTGCGAAGCCCAACGTGATTGATGTTTCATTGACATGATTCAAACTATTGAAAACGCATAATAATGCCGATAATGCATTCATTCTCCCACTTTTGGTTTAAGTGGGATATGCCAATGGTTTGTTTCTGCAGAAAAGTGTCGCAAGGCCCTTCCTGTGGATAAAACAATGAAAGCTGACTTGAACTAAGCTTGGACTTCAATCAACCAAGAAGCTACTAGTAACAAGTGCCACGCTAGTAGTAACAGGTGCCTTACTAGTAGTAACAAGAAGCTATTAATCTATTTTAGTTTAATTTAAATGCGCAGGTCAACTCCCTGCAGGAGTCTGAAGTGGAGAACATGCCACACTCCCAGCGCTGCAGTGCCAGAGTCGGCATGGGTTGAATGGACAAGACACGTCACATGAATGTACATAATACAATTAGACAAGGTTTAGTGTAGATAAGGTATAGGATTTTGCACAGGGTCGGCGCTTCAGTCCTAATAATGGATGATGCATGCCTCCTGAGGCCTCCGTCGGATCCCTGGGCGAAACTCCTCACCATCCCGTGGCCGAAGAACATCAATGAATGGGGCCGGCACAACTGGCAAAATTCAGAAAGGTTATGCATTTCAGGGTCTTCAAAAGAAGAGATGGACAGAGAGAGATGTTCTTTTAAGATCACTAGGAGCAAGGACGCTACTTACTAGGGGCTCCTGGCCTTACTGCTAGGAGCAAGGACGCTACTAGGAGATATGTTCTTTTAAGATCTTTTAAGATCCTAGATTCAGCAAATCCCATGTTTTGGCAGCTTTGATGCCGTGGGAGGTGCCTCTAGGCCGTGTGGATACCATGCACAAAGCCCATACGTCCTGCTGCATACTGCATACTCGCACAATTCGTTTTGCTGTACAATGACAGAAACCATACATAAACATACGGTAGCTGACATCCTGCTGCTGCTGCTGCTGCTGCTAAAAAAAGGTTCCAGCTCTCTGATGTTGAAGTTTAAATATTACATAATGTTACATTGAAATTTCATTGAAGTACACTTGAAAGACGGTCGAGAAGTTAGGACGACGTGTCATATAATATGTTACTGGAGTTTCTCCAGCTGCCGTTTTGGGGTAACAACAGCTTACAACTCCAGCCAGGCTACAAAGAACGCTTTGGTCTGGCCATCCAAAGTTGAAAAAGGGCTGGATTCGCTGCATGTCCAGCAGTCAACGGCAGGAGTTTGGGCCTTTGTAAATGACCTGAGTTTGCATTTGTGGCTAAAGACAGTTGAACTTGGCAGCCTTTGCCTGAGGTACTACGTCAGGGTTGCTGATGGCATCTCCACGTTCGATCCTAACGAAGCTCTTGCTTGATTGCAGCCTGCTTGCTCACAGTAGTTATCCATATATATGTATATAGCATTGTCCAGCAGCACTTCGGATGCCGTGTGCAACCAAAGCTGTTCCAGGAAAAGTGCACGCGAGGTATTTGCAGAAGTCGCTAATCTTACGCTGGACAGTTGAAGTGGATCCTGTTGTTTATGCAAAGACACTGCTTGATAACTCTTTTAGGACTGTCTGCAGCCTCCCACGATTGTACAAAGACATTTGAGTGCCTTCTCAGCTTGTCACGATTCACGACAGTATATTTCGAACATTTCAAGCTTGAAAGAGCTGGAACTCCATGGATGCAAAGATAGCGCAGTTGAATCACAGAATCTAGAGTGGGGAAAGGAATGGAAGCAGACATGTTGCTGAGCGGAACCAGCAGACCCATATCAGATCGCTGAGCCGAAACTACGCGCGCTGTAAACTGCAAGCAGCACTAGAAACCGTGTCATGCCTGCGTTCTGTCTCATGTGGATGGCATGTCGTCGCCTACATCATCCCAAACCGGAGGCAGCCTTGGGGTCTTTGCCCAAACCGAGCTGCTCGTTGCCAGAGATTGGTTTCGTTGGCCTTCACAGGACCAGGAGCAGCGCCCAAATCTGCCTTGGCGCTGTCGTTTGATGCTGCCAAGCAAGTGGAGGAATATATCAAGGCCTTTGTACTTGCAGTTGCGAGGTGATCTTGTTGATTGATTGAATCTCTTCAGATTAGGCGCCTTCGTTGATCGATTTACATGTATTTCCATACATGATGTGAATGTGACATGTTCCTTGGAAGTGCCACTTTGAGCCTTCCGTTTGAACAGCCTAGCCTTTTGCCACTCCCTGGCCTGAGAGTCAGACTTGCAAGAGCCAATTGCGCTGTACTTGCAGATACATATATTATATATAATATATATAATACACAATTATACACGTATGCTCCATCGAAGACAACACACATGATTGTCTTTGTTTGTACCTTTTTGCATCCTCCGGTCCTCATTCACCAGGTTTCCAAGGAGACGAGTTCAGTGGCATTTGAGTTGGCTTGCATAGCCCAAGACCTTGGATCTTTGTGGCCCAACAAGTGACAGAGATGCACAGAGTTGTATGTATATAATGCTTTGCATCCATGAGCTAGGTTGGAACATTTGCTACACCTCCAAGGTACAATGATGAGAAAAGCACCGTGGCAGATCAGCCTCTTGCACTTTCAGAGCACTTGTGAGTTTGTGTGCAGTGCCCATCAAGTCTCGCATATGAGTATGGCCTAAAACTCTGGACCTCCATACCCAAGTGGTAAATGAAGCGCGGCCAAAGCTGCCAGTAGCTTCTTGTTGCTAGTAGCAAGAAGAACCTAATAGGAATGGCCTCCACCCTAATAGCGATGGCCTCCACCTGGTAGCTTCTTGTTACTAGTAGCCATGGCCTCCACCCCAATAGCAATGGCCTCCAGGCCTCCACCTAGTAGCTTCTAGCTACTAGTAGCTTCACTGATTTGCATTAATAATTGTACTAAGTATTGGCACTCTGCTGAGGCGGCTACTGGCGAAACGGGACAGAGTTCCAGTTGAGCGTACGTAACATGTACAAAGAACGCACTGATAGGGAAAGAACAATGTGAAACAGATAGAACCTGTCAAAAAGGAGGGTCAAACAGTCTAGGACCCGCTTCCTTCGAAGGTTCTTGAATGGAGCTTCCTTGAAGAATTGAAGAAGAGTGGCTACTTAGTAGTAGCTTAGCACACTCTTACTTTGTTTAGCCTTTGCTTATTTGTCAAAATACTGTTTAAAGACTTATTTTTTTAAGTATTCTTTTTAAATTGCTTAGGCTTACTCTATCTTATTTATGTTTCTGCATCCATAGAGAGAGCTCGGGTTCTTCAAGGAAGCTTCTGACAGGATGCACAAAAAGGGACAAACACATTACACATTGCTTAAAATAGATAAAACAATAGATAGATATATAATTGTATAAAACAAATTTACACATATTAAGCCTAAACATTTGAACATATTAAGTCTAAACCATGTTAAACACTTTTATGTCAGGTCTCACCTTGACAATCCTCAGATGCCGTTTCCGTCATCGGTGATGGACACTTCCTCAGGCTGATCAAGGACATCGTGGGAGACAGGACGAAGCACTGTATCTTTGTACCACCGCACTCACTACACTCCAGGCACTCCAGGTGTATGGCCTGTGTAGCTTCTCTCAATCAAGAATCCAAACCTTGCTAAGCCTCGCAGGAAGTCATGATTATATAAATAAATATATGTAATATATATATTCTTTAGAGGTGGTTGGATAGGCCGTAAGAGGAGGTTTAGGCAAGCTACTGTACCAGTACTCGTAGCTGGAACGCAGGAGAGGCGAGTTGGCGAAGTCCTTGCTCTATTCATTTGGTTCCTAGATGTTTAGGAAAACTTAGCTCTGACCGTCTGACCAAATCTTTTGAAGGTCCGATTTTTCAGAGTCAACAAGTTGCTGGCTTAGACGTTTTGAGTGAACACTGTGAACATCACCAGGATCCCCTACACATTTGGCAAGAGAGCTTCTGACACCATCCCTGAAGGTGCACATGCAGACATGTCCAGTATTGGCAGTATGGCTTCGACACCCTTAATTTTTTTTCGGGGCAAGGTAGGCCATAAAGTCATAGAGGGTAAGTTGATGTAAGTAGTAAGCCAAGTACTAAGAGCTTGGAAGCTACTACACTAAAGGACGCAGAAGGAACTTTTGCCTGCGCGAATTCCTGGATTTTAGGAGTACAGCGGTCACTTAATAATTTTCCGATGGTGCAAGTTGCGTTACATTGTTAGTATGTTATTGTGCTTTCACATTTACCCACAGGTTTGAGTGTTGAGAATCCTTGTTAGCACTGAGCCGCCAGGCTTGGCAGCGTTGGGCCAATTCTTTGCTGAGGACAGAGTTCAAACCAGAGGAACCTCTCTAACTACGAAACCGGCAAACAGGTGGGAATGGGAATGTTGAGTCTTTGCCTGTCAAGGACCCACGACACTTTGGTGTCCGGCTGTCGGCCCTCTACACCGGCAGCAATTTAATCCAGGAGCCCCAAACTTGCGAAAGATTGCCGACGAAGAGGTACCATGCGGCTGATGAAGTCCACCACTTCATAGCAGCAGGGTGCAAAAAAACACAAGTTTTGGAGATCAGTTCATCCAAACCAAAGCTGTCATCTCAAAAGCCTGACAATCGCAAAAACTTGATTTTGGAACCTTCAATCTCTCAATGGCTCGTGTCAATTCCCTCCAAACCCAAAGGAGCGGAAGAGAGTGGTACCGGTGCAAAAAGATTTGGAGATGGAGAGCGAGGATGCTGGAGAAGCTGTTCCACGGGTTTGGGTTCTGATGCGCGGTCGGCGAGGGCTTGCTTTCAATTACTTGGAGAATCAAACACACAGATTCTTTTCTTTTTCTGAAACTTCTGCTATGGAGGACTCGTCTTCCGACTCCTCTGCATGGAGCACTTCAAGCGAGGAGTCTGCTGAGGCCTTAGGCCTTCGGGAAAAGTTTTCACCGGATACAGTAATTCAATTTGCATAGGATTGTATTTCTTGGCACGTAACGACACACGCGGATTTCCCAGCAAAGCACCACCAAACAGAGTGTGGACGTTTTCGTTGCGAGTGATCTGCCACAGCCACACATACTCAATGAGTGGAAGCAAAGCCACGCAAGGTGCCTGTGTATTGGCCTCCACAACAGGTCATTCCAAGCAAAGCACTGGACCTTGGAGTAGCCAAAAACACAGGAGAAAAGCCATGTAACCGTAACCTAGCAGCGAGCATGCAACATGTCCCGAAAGCTTCAACATGAGTGTTCATACATTGCGAGAGGAAGATTGCTTTGACGGCCAGCTGAAACGGGGTTGTGCCGTTGAAGATGTTGGGTCTCGGCTCAGCACAGCGGGTTCTTGCGGAAACCTAATATAGAATAATATAGATATATTATATTTATACATAGAATAAAAACACATATTACTGATGTCAATATGGATGTAGCAACTACAAGGACATTTGATGAACTTTGGGTGGCGCATGCATAGGCGTTCGTAGGCTGTAGGCACTTGCCGTAGGCAACCATAGATATCATAGATCCATTGAAACAACATGCCTTGAAGTCGCCCTGCAACCTCTGATCCAACAACCCCTACTCACTCCCAACATCGCTGACACCGCCCACCAAAAAATCATTTTATTCTTCCATCTGACGTTTTCCGTAGGGTCTCCGTAGGTTCTCCACAAGGCCGCCACTGTAGGCAAAAGTTCATTTTGTGAAACCTGGCTGATTTCAACCCGGCTACTGTAGCACTCGCAAACAATGCAGAAAGTGGGAGCGATACTGTAGTATATTCTGACTGGTTCTCAAGCCAAGCGCCAAGCCCCTCGTCAATCTGAAGGACAAAGGATCAGCTGCTGCAAAACCGTTTTCAATCAGAAGAGCTGCATGTACTGCCGCAGGCTCTCACTGTGGAACCCTATGCAAACCGACAAACCGTAGGGTTCTGCGTAGGCACACATAGAGCATAACATTGCTGGATCAACAGGAATCCCGAGCCAACCACTTGGACCCAGACACTTTGGAAGAAACCCTTTCCGAAAGCTTGCAACAGGTGATGCAGTGGATTTGTGGAGCATCTTCCTGCACATATTGGGTTCTGGTGTCCAAAAGAGAGGACGCATTGCAGGAAAGTAAGGTCCAGCCTCCGGATGCCGGCAAAGATTAGGAGGAACAAAAGCGCGAAAAGGTTTGTTCGCTGGTTAAGAATCTACGGACGTAGTCATAGCGGCTGAAAAGCATCTGTGTCTGTGTCTGCAGCGTTTGGTGGCTTGTGAATGGCCCTTTTGGAGACATTGGCCAACACTTGGCTGCTGTGATTCCCACTGCACTGCCCCTACTTGTTGAAAAGCTGGTCCATTTGTTGAAGGACCTTGCAAGAACAGATGACGCAGTTGGATATCGCCCAGAAACAAGACGGGCAGCTACGTTCCCGGAAATGCATATTTGGCATCGTGCACTCAAGTAGGATGCTTTTGTGCATGCGCCTACAAGAGCAGCTTTTGACATGATTGCAGTGGGAACAGAGCCAGCAAATCTTTGTCCCGGCCTGACCACTGGATGAAACGATGCAAAACAATTGGGATGCAGCCTGCAAGCTGAGAATACGCGCTTTTCCTACTCTTTCTTTGACACATCATAACTCAAGGAACAGTTGCGAGGCTTTGGATGCCTTTGTGTAATAATTATTTTACAAGCATTTACTGCACATACATTGCCTTTTCATTGTTTCCACATGGTTGCACCAATTGCCTCTTCATTGTTTGCACCATGGCGCCTGAACCAGCACCAGTGAGCCTAAACATCCCAGCTGGCTGAGGCCAACAGCCTAGAAAGTGAAGAGTTGGATGATTTTGATGCCCAAAAATGGCACCTTGTGGTGGATGAATTGCTGGAGCGCATCCAAAGCAAGGCTGCTCAACTGCCGGTTTAGAGCATTTTTGCAAACTTTATGAAATGATGTGAACTGCTACTTTGGATGGTCCTCAACATGTTCTCGTTTCGCATTCATTCCGATCTTGCAGAAAGAGTGGGAGACAATGGCAAAGCTACGGGAAATGCCCCTTGGCCGCAACCTATGCTCAACCGTCCTGTAAACCCTCCTGACGCTTTGGCATGAAATTGGGATTTTGGCAAGCTGCATCAAAGTACGTAGCATTCCGTTGTATTACTTATCTGATGCGCTTTGAAGCTTCATCCCTAAGAAGAAATAAGACCCCAAGACAAAACTACTGGAGTAGGGCCTTCTACTTTAAAGCACAGCCTTTCACAGAACTCTGCCTGGCCTAACACTTGACGACACACTCTGCCAACTCGAACCTCCAAAACACCTGGAGCCACTTGGAGGTACGTATTTAAAGATTCAGAACGTGCTGCCGATATTGTTCACGTGGAGGCAGCGGTCTCGATTGTCGAGTTGAACGCCGTGGGACAACAGGAAAATAGGCCCCTACTCTAAAGGGGAAGATACCTTCATCTTATTTTCCTTTCTTCTGTGCCTTGTTTACATAAAACATATTTGATGCGGTGTAGCCAGGGTCTGTTTGGCAAGGGTAGAGTTCTTGCAGAGAGCATGAAAGAGCCACTCGGGCAGGCCTTGGCAGAGCTGAATGACGAAGAGTTGCGGGGCTTCGACAAAACTAGAGAGGAGTTGGAGACGCAGGCAGAGCCACAGAAGTGCTGGCTGAATCTGTCCATCTAAAATCTGTCCATCCTACAAAAGGCCAAAGAGTAAAAGAGGACGGTCGGCTTTCTGAAAGGAGTTGCAATGAATGCACATGCCTCATGAATGTAGCACACTTCTAAACATTGGTAGTCAGACGATTACACTTCTCACGCAGAATTGGTTTCAACATGTGATGGGTGAGATGAAATTAGTAGGCGAGCAGAAGATTATATAACTAGAATGACATCAGATTGATTGCATCCCGCTGGCTTCGTCCTGGGCTTGAGATGGAACTGCTCCACTCTTTTCTTGTATTTAGTATAGATTATATAGTATGGGACTCACTATCAATTACCATTGAGCTTTCCTGAATGTCCTCTACTTGCTTCTTTTCAAGGAAGAAGAAGTGGGAGTTACCTGGGAGTTCACGGAAGCACCAAGCAGAACAAAACTCGCAATTTCTTGTAAATTTTGGTAGGCGTATCGCATCGTGTCGCCCAGCCAATATCTACTGTAGTGAATCTAGTGACGTGGAGCACAGGCACGCCTAGGCACGCTTTCTGGACAAGCCTTCGACGCCATGCCACCAAAAGAAAAGGAATCCTTCACGGCCAAACAGCAGCGCTTGAAGCAACAGCAGGAGTTGGTGGAAGATGAAACAACTGCAGAACGCATTGAGCGTGAGATGGCGGATGAGATCAACGCCCAAGCAGAACAGAATGCCTTCAAAATCCCGCAATGGGTAAACATTGCAGGAGCACTGCTGGGGGTTCTACAGCTCAGCTACAGAATAGAACAAGAGCGGGAGCGCAGGGCAGATGACTACTTTGCAAATCCAAGGCCTGAAATTTATTCCTTCGTGGCTTCGATGTCATTCGAGGTCGGAGTGGCATGCCTCATTGCAATTAACTGCGTCCTGCTGGGCTATCAAGCATCTTTGCCAGACGGAGAGAATGAAATGCTGTTTGACATTGGTGAACACATTTTTGTTTCGCTCTTCCTCTGCGAATGGTTGATGCGAGTGCTCGCATTTGGCTGGGTCTGGGTTTTTGAGTTCTCCAATGCGGCAGACACGATGATGGCTGCTCGATTGGTTCACTCTTCAGCAGGTCAGGTTTCATCAGTTCTTTTCAACTGACTAATAAAATCAGAAATTGCCGTGACCAGAATCAACCCCTGAAAAGCCGTCCCAGTCCTTGACAAAACAGAACCTTGGACACGACACTTCCCTGTCAATGCTTTGATCTTGACCTTATGAAGTTAAGTTTCCCTAAAAATCTAGGAACCAAATCATAAGCGTAAACGTCCTAGGTAGGAGCGAACTAGTTGCCCTTACTTAATTGAGTAGACGCCCCGGGCTACAAAGATGTACCAAAGTTGGCTGAGGTCTTCATTTTCGGTGTATTCCCGAAATGGGTGCTGGACCCATTGGGAATAGATGCAAGCACCATCCGCGTCTTCACAGTCTTAAGAGCCCTTCGACTAGCCAGATTGGCACGTGCCGTACGGATGAAGCCACAATTCAAGGAGGGGCACTGAAGGCTTGTGTTTTAGAGAAGATGTTGTCAAATGGGCCTAAACTTACAGTACCTCTGATATTGTAAAGTCACACTTGCCTTGTAATCTGTTCTTGGACATTCCTGATTAATTACATAGGCTCGGCATTTCACAATTTCAATATGTTTCCTTATTGTACCGATAGCATCCGATAGCAGTCATTCCTGCTGGGCTTGCCTCGTCGCACTGGGCCTGAGCTGGGCACAGTGTGTCACCAAGCAGAGCTGCCTCCACTGAGCTGCATCAACCGGTGCTCTCTTTGGCTGCTGCATTGTCTCCTTCTTGCTTTTCACTTTTCACTGAAAAATGTAAAAGCTATGTTGGTTGTCTGACTTTGTCATGCCCGGAGTCATACCCTTCCTTTGCTTGAATTCATGGTCAATCGCACTGTCTTGTTTCACTATGTCACTATGGTTTCCTTGGCATCGCAAGGTCCTGTGGCTCCCTTTGTTCTAGTGACTCCAAGTTGCACGGTCTTTAGTACCCAACTTAAGTAGCTGAATGTCCGATTTTCATACTGTAACACGACGATACAAAGCGCTGCAGGGTCACCAGTCCTCACGTCCAGGAGCTCTGGATTCTGATCCATGGGTTGACGACCTCCTTTCGACCATTGATGTGGACCGTGTTGATTGCAACCATTGTTTTATACCTTGGAGGCCTAGCAGCCACTGAGGCCATTGGCAAGGCTGAGATCTTCAAAGGTGATCCAGACATCGAACTATTGTTTGGGGATTTGCTTAAGTCTATGTACACAATGATTCAACTTCTGACTTTGGATACCTGGGTGGATACCATTGCACGCTTTGCCATTGACCCAAGCCACAACATAAACAAGGAATACTGGGGCGATCGGGCCCTGGAACAACGCAACGCATTTTTTTCCTTACTCACTGTTCTTCATTTTCTTTATTGGCATTGGTGTCTTCGTCTTCTGGAATCTGATTACGGCCATCATCGTGGAGACCGCCTTCGAGATTTCCGACGCTGACTCCAACTCGCAGGCGCGTGAGATTGAGATGGCCAAAAAGGCTGAGATTGAGAGCCTAACACAGAGCCTTGGCATCTCTTAGAATGCACCCCCAAAAGGCTTGGTGATTGGATTTTCCAGGTTTGCTTGCCGCAGTTGAACAAAACAGACGGCTTCTATCTTCCATCTCTGCCGACTGTAGAAAGTCTTTGGTCTTTCAAGACAAAGAACTCTTCGGATATCATGGACACGTCATTGTATGCTGTTCTTGTTCTGTCCTTGATTGATCTCTCAAGGATCTTTCTCGAGATTGACAAGGACCATTCAGGTGAGTTGAGCTTCGCGGAGTTCGAAGGGGCCCTGAATATCCCCAAAGTCAGGCGTGGAAAGCATCAGAAAACAAAGCAGAGGGACCAAGCAACAAGTGGCATCAACTGTTTTGGCTGGTCATTGCAGACCTTCTCTTCAAAAACAAATCTTCACCAAACCGCAACGCGTTGTAGCGTGCACATTCAATTGGAAAGACCTTTGTGAGGCCAGCCACATGTTGAACTCACTGTAAGTAAGTGTAAACATTGCCCAATGTCCAATCGTCACTATATATTATATACATGTATAGTTGCCGAGCATCCAACATATGACATGTATCACAGGTAACGGCATGGGCACTGTAGCTGAGGCTCTCGAACTTGAAAGATACTATGAATGATGCCAGATGTTTAAATCACGCCAAGGCAGATGCTGGACGTCCTTGGAGTGCAGGCAAATGAATTGCAAGAGGTTTGGTATGTCCTGGATGATGGCGACAATTGTCTTACCATCAAGGAGACTTTAAAGTTGTCCGTGTCAATTCTGCCTGTTACAGCTTCTATGTGACACAACATCGCATAATCTCCCTCACCCGTAGACAATCATTATACCAACCCCACGCTCGAATCTATCCTCGTCTACGAGAATTGGCCCGTTCCGTGGCTTCTGCAAGATATCATACTGTAATCCTTGGCCCAAATACCAGTTGCAGTAAGAAAGTGAAAGGCTAGACTGCTGCTACTTCACCAGGGTTGAAATAGTCGAGAATAGCTGTAGAGCATGCACTGCTACAACCCTCCTGCTAGGGTAGTGATTGCGCAGCTCAAGCTTGTAGATCGTAGAAGAACAGATAAGGGTTTCAAGAGGTATTTTGCAGTTGAGAGACTTCGGCGCCTTTGGCGGTTTTCTCTGCCATGCAGGAGTTCACAACAGGAATACGTCGGATGCGGGGCCAAGCGAAGGCGAAGGCCATGGCAGACCTTGGCAGTTCAAGTCAAAGACGAAGAAACGTAGACACATGATGACACATGTATAAATAAATTAATAGATAAATATATATATATATGTTACATTAAAGAAATATGCAATATGACTGGCTTTCCAACACACTTGGACTGTCAGGGCCCTTGAGCTCAATTGCCAACGGAGACAAAAGGCGGCCTGCACTACTACCGAGCTTGCAGTAAAACAGATTAGAACAACAGAGCTGCTTTGAGTTTTTCATGGTAGCGGAGCAGTGATCTTGGAAACATCCAGGTGAGCTCCAACACAAAAAAGCACACAACAAGCAAGGAGCAATTGGGTAACAGCCCAATCAGCCAAGCAAGACGTACATGGACACAAAAAGAGCAAAGCAGCACGCGAGACAGGCAGAGGCCTTGGTCCCAACCATTTGGGGTGTGGGGGACTCTCAGCAGAAGCAATGGCAACACACGGCACCAGCACCGCAAATGCAACAGGAGCGCAGAACGACAAGCTGCGAGCTTGGCAAAGCAGTACTCTACCTGCTCCCAACAGCAGAGAACGTGCCAAAGATGAGAGGAAGCAAAGCTCTTTCTTTCCAGCCATCTGGTTGGGAAAGGACACAGCAACAAATCAGAACATAGTTGGTATCAGAAGCAAGGTGGTCAGAGCAAATACAACTACCAGGAGACAAATACAACAGACATTTGATTTTGGCATCATCAACGCCACACCGTGGACATCATCTCCCTCAGCAGCAGGCATTGTGCTTAGGCCAGCACATCAGAACTTTGCGTTGGTGGCAGACGCCGCCAAGAAGGAGAGCACCGCGCCAGCAACACCGCCAGCAAGAGCAGCTCTTACAGTGTCACGAAAGGCAGGAATGACAGACGACGTCGCTGAGGGCAGTGCCGCAAAGCGGCAGCGCAAGACTCAGCTTGAACATCGGCCACCAGCAACAAGATGACCTGGAGATGAAAACGGAAACGAATGTCCCTGCTCCATGAAAGGACAACAGGTTTACACAGAAGTACCTTTCAGCCACCGCAATAGAGAGCGACGAAGCAAGGTCATCAAGTCTTGATGGACCTTCGACAGAAGGGAGACACAGTTCGACCACGGATTGTTGCAAAGGGGCTGCGCAGAGGATGTCAAGGGCAAGGATGACAATTACGCATCACCGCCAATCTTCGCATCGTGCGATTTCTCTTCACGCTTGCGTCGTTATCCTTCAACTGGACAGTCAGACCAGGGGACACCTCGAAGGCCATTAATTTTACTTACACAACCTCATCACCAGAGGCAGCCTAGCAGACAGCTATGCGGCTACACGGCAGAACTTCTCACAGTAACGCAGCGTCGGCCCCTGGACCAAGCGCGCGCAAAGCAACGGCAATGGCTTAAGGCCGAAGACAAGACCAGAAATATGCTACGCAACAAAGGAGTTGGCGAGATCACACGCAGAGCCAACAGCGCGAGATCAACAGAAATTGAACCATCTCTTGAGGTACACCAAATGAATGCAGCGCCAAGAGTACTACGGTCAAGGCAGGGGCAACGAAAGCGCTACGCATCTGCAACCCCTACAGGAGGCCCCCAGATGAAAAACTTCAACGTACGAACTCGCGCCGAACCGTCCAGTGGAAAGAGCATGGCGGCGATCAAAGAAGCAAAGCGCACCTCACCCAAACTCCTATTGGTTGCACAACAGCTGATCCTTCACGACTTCGCGAGGTTGATCAGGAATCGACGCGTAACACTGCTGGCATCTCCGCCAAGTACATTGCGACAGAGACACTCTTGCGTCGTCTGCGCGGTGCTGGGATCACCGCCGTGCATCAACGAGCATCTCCAGCGACAACAACAAGCAGTTTCGCCACAGCTCGCGTACAATACATGTACAGCATGCGTAAAGGCATGTACAGGCGCATGACGGCGCGCGCGCGTGCGCTCGCTTCTGAACCTGTTGAAGACAAGATGTCTCCAGGAAACGTTGGAGCGGCGCTTCTCCTCAACATGTCGGCCAACATGGGCCAACATGAAAGATTCATCATGAATGTAGGCAAGTTTACCACGCGTGAGCAATCTATGTTTCATTCGTTGGCGGTTTCACTGTCAACTTGTTGACAACAAGACGCTTTTGACGATCGTCGCAGCCTTGTGATGTGTGCGATAGCTCTTGGTTTCTCTTTGAGAGTGGCTAGCTTCAACAGCTTGCCAACGCTATGAGATTGAACGTACCCCACCTTGGAGTCCGACCGCCTTGATCTTGACCCCAACAAGCACTTAAAGTGCACCTTCCAGCTGACGCAACTCTTCACGCTTGCCGTCAACATTCTCACTGCAGCGAGCAAGGGCAGTTGCAAGTGCTTCCAGAGGGGCGACAGTATGACTTGTTTCAAGTCTCGCGCAATAGGAGCAAGTATGTCTTCGCCAAGGACAAGCTGCAATCCTCATTGTGGGTGCCATCGCAGGGGCTGCTGTTCACCTGCCTTGTGATCATTGTCACTGCCTCCATTATACGCGGCAGCGGGCGCTCCGCCATCAATGAGCGCAAGGCAGCGCAAGGATTGGCAACACCTCCAGGGGGGGCTTCAATCTCAGCCGTCAAGGGCAACCTCAGTCCCCGGACCAGATGGCGGGTCATCTGCAGGAAGAAGATCAGAGTGAGACAATGGAGCCTCCGGAGAGACCGAATCGAGTGAGCAAGAAGACTGCATGCTCATCAGAGACTCAGAGACGGCCAAAAAAGAAAGGCAACGATGGCAACAGGATCGACTGCGGTAGTCAATAGTATAAGTAAGCCAGAAGGCCTGTACAGGAGATGATCCAACAACCATGCTTGCTATGCAACATTTTTTCACGAGGACAACAAATTGGGCCGTGTAAAGATGCAACATGGTTTTCCAGCACTTGGACATACTTGGACTGTCAGGGCCCTTGAGCTCAATTGCCAACAGAGACAAAGAGCTGCACAACAGAATTTGCAGTGAAACAAACAGAGCGTACAGAGCTGCCTTGAGCTTTTCAACCGCAATACAGTATATTATATAGGACTTGTTTATCGGATCGTATCACACTCACTTACTTGCAGTTCTCACCGTTTTTTGGTATGGTTTCATAATTGAACCGTTGATTTTTGGCACAGGATCTTGCAGACACTGTGAAGCGTTTGCGCCTGGCCACGCGGAGTGTTGGGGAGCTCTTGGCACAAGCAGACCAGTTCCACAGGCAGTGTTTTCAACGCTGTCAAATAGCTTCGCGCAAGTGCGTGGGAATATTCGGAATACCCATCTTCCCAGATGTTGCGGCCCCCTACGACCGTATGTGATATGTGACACGGTATTTTACAAGTATTTTGGAAAGAGTTTGTTTGATGCTTGGGCTGAGTGTTTGAGCTTCTTGATTGGTCCAGCTTGGGCCTGGTTATGCATATTGGTTGGTTTCTTGTTTTGTGACCGCCTGCCATGTTTGTGGGGGGGCAGTTCCTGTCCCCTAGCTTGCCGACAGCCAGGCCTTGCAAAGACTACCCCACTGTGGCAACATAGTCAACTACTAGGTTGGTCAGGTTTACCAACTTTGTTTCAGGTGCACAGCGTTTTGAGGTGATGTGCTGATTGTCTAGATATCAGTCATGGGTTGATGCCTTCCTCAGCCTCGGGCTGGTGGGGTTTCCCCAGCATACGTACATCGAGTGGCATGATTTTGGCAGTCCAGGAGAGGCCAACTTCGAAGGATCCAGAGATAATGGAAACAATGTGCGCACATCGGAATTAAAACACCCTCTCGGAAAAACAACAATCAAGAATAAACATTGGACCTTATAATTTGCACGAATCAACTTGGGAAAATGGGAGTCCTTGGTGAGATGTTTTTAAATTTTATTGCGTGATGGTGCCGGATGATCGCAGCAATAACAAGTGTCAAACCTGAACAACTGCACTGCTTTGCTCTTGTTCTGTGCTGACTCGCTCCTGGCAGTGCAATCTCCTACATCGAAGAAGAGTGCAACCGGATCTCTGATGACACTGGACGAATGGTTGGCCTTTTCCACGAGATGTATCACAGGCGTGGAGCTGCCAGGGTGCCCCTTGCCATGCCAATCTCAACACTGGACTCATCAAAAGGCCTCTTGAGAGAGAAGAAGAACATGAGGTGACCAGTGCCTCCTTACTATTAATAGCGGAGGCCTCCAACCTAATAGCGATGGACCTTACCCTTTTTTTTGCCTCTACATGCTACGTGTTGAAGTTCTCTCCAGACATCATGATTCCGCAGGCTTAATTCTCACCTGGACATTTGTCACAAGCAGAACATCCAGCGAGAAGCAGACAGAAAGAAAGCCAAGCTCAAGGCCTGTATCATTCCGAACTGATACTGTACTTACTCAGTCCCTTCTTTATCCGAAGCATCACTGGTTTTCGTTATGTTTGACAAAGTCCATTTGCCGATCAACTTGATTTGAAGGCATGCTTAATAACTGACCAAACCCAAAAGCTCGAGTTGACATGCTATGGGCCCTGCCACCTTCACGACTATGGGAATCCATCTCATTTCCATGCGCCCAACAGAATGCTTTGATGTTTGGGGAAAGAAGGAATTTGCGGACCTGGTGTTGTTGATATTACTTCGTTCAGGCAGCTCAAGAAGAGGCGATGAAGGCGGCGCTTCAGAACCAGGATGAAGATGATGAATAAGACTGCAAATCAACGAGAGAGCGCCTTTGTTCTTCCAAGGTCTTCAAGATTTGGCTTAGATCCTTTGTTGGGCCAACAGAGACTTGTGCCAGATTCTGCAGAAAATTCTCAGCATGGTACCCACTGCAAGACCTTTGTCATCTCAGATCACGACCACAGACTAAGACTCCGTGTTTGCAAGCTGTTGAATACAGGATGGGAGCAGTTTCTGCAAATGTTTTCCATCCCCACGCTTACGTGTGAGGTGTGATCATGTTTCACCAGGTAGCATCCTCCAAGAGGATTCAACATGTGCCATAATGTGAGAAAAATGACTTGCCCGCTGCAACAATGCTGGACCCTATCGCGACCTATTCTTTGGGTGAGTTATGGGAATAATACTCTTCCAATTCACAAGCCGTTTTGTCACTCTTCATCTCCGCTTGTATATGGATGGTCCAAGCTTTGTGCAACTCTTGCTGTGCCAGGTTGAGGTAAAGCAACTCGACCTGCTGCAAACACTCAGCACCTTCAACAACTCCTTAAAAGTGACCACTCAGGAGCCGCAGGGGGTGCCAACAAGTGTGAAGAGTCAAGAAAATAGAGAGGCTGTTGCAGCTATTTTGTGCGTAAGTGAAATTCCTGGTTCCTCAACTGAATCTCAGAGCTTGAGGAGATAATTAGAAGAAGAAGAGCAAGGGCGAAGGCCGCAGCTCGAAAGCGATTTAGCTTTGCCAACATGGATGAGCAACTTGGCTGCCTCCGGCTTGAATTTCTCAAGCCAAGGTTTATAGTTACAAAACCTTCAGCGGGCATGGTATTCGTATGGAATCTGTAGACCTAGACCTGGCCAAGTCAGCATGCTGCTAGTGGCATAGTGGCATAGCACAAAGAGCACGACCCACCAAGGGTCGTCCTGGTGGAGAAGCCATTCAGCTGCAGGGAGTGCTTCCAAAGCCAAGCACATCACACGTTTGTTTGATTCAACATTTTTTTTGTCCTTTTTACAAGTGAAGATCACAGCAGCTCTCGTGTGAAGATGTGTACGGCCATGGGAATGATTTGGACAGCTGGTTTGTCCACGCATTGTCCGGTTCCGTACAGCTTGTTTCTGCTATCATTGCTATCAGCTTGCCAAAATACACAGGGACGATCAAATGCGACCGCGCAATCTGCACTTGCAGGGACGAGAAGGTGGACGAGGAAGACGATGAAGAAGAGCAGCGAAAGAAAGCAGCGGAGGATCAGTGACACAGTGACAGACCGTTCTAAATTCCGGCAGAGTGATGGAGGCAAGCCAAACAGAACAGATACGACATGCCTCGAAAAAAACATGCAATTGGACGATCCACAATCCATGAGTGCGAAACAACATTTCTTTGCCTCCTCCCATGCGCAGCCATGCGCAGGAGGAGCGTGCAAAGAGAAGCAAAGCTGGAGAACTCTTGGCGCACATCTCCACACTACAACAAAGTACCTTGACAGGCAAAGGTTTGGGGCATGTGCCGTCACCTGGGAGAGGGGTGTTGCAGATAAAAATGTGCCAATTCTCCGTGTCATTGTTAGCTGTTCGTTCTTGGTTTTTCCAGACATTTAAGTCAAACGGCGAACATAAAGAATACCTTGCCAAGCTATCTTTACTATCCGCCCTGTCTCTCATGTTATATCGATGCGCAATGATATTCTATGATTTTCTGCAACTAAAAGCTCTTAAGCTAGCTCTATCAATCCACTTAGGTCCGCAAACCGGCCTTTCATTGAACTCATTGCTGTTTTGCTTTTGCTTGGCCTCCTGACATTCGGGGTTGAGCTGAGTGCTTACAAGCAAAGAGACAACAACCCAACCAACTGAGGCATGAATGATTTGGTCAGCCACACTCATCAGCGGAAGCTTACATTGGACGTACACAACGAGGCCAACAAGTCCGTGTACAACACAGAGATATATCATTACCCTGAGAAGGTAGACGGCTAGCTCATCTGAACGGAGCTTTGGCAGGCTTCGACGTACTTGAGGCTTGCGATGGAGGCTGGTGCTGGGGCTGTTGTGGGCCACAATGCCGCTGGAGCTTTGTACAGGTTGGACGTTAGACTTAGAGGGAGTCTTAGAGGGTTGGCCTAAGTCAGTGCCGCAGGTTGGTGAGCACTGACAGTTTCGGAAGATAGAAAGGGTGAAGTCTTTGAGTTGAAGAGTGCAGGTGGAGGCTTTATCAGTTTAGGTATGGGCCGGTATGGGTAGAAAGGACGAGCAAGGAAGGGATGACGACCTAGTGCCTCTGGCCTCTAGAGAAAGTTATGCTGGTAGTAGGGGAAGGGTCAGGAGCCGTCGCAGGTTCTTTCGTGCGCAGGGTCTTCCTTTGTCAACTAGGAAGGGGTTTCTCACAATGGATCTTGTAGCCAAGAAGGAGCGAGGATTTGAGTTGAAGAGGGATCAGGAGCAAAGTAAAGAAAGCCAACTTTTGGCTGTTGAGGACCACTTCGAAACATCGTCTCGTGTAAATCTTGCATATCATGTCTTTTGACATGTAATATTTGCAAGAACCGTGAAATTCAAGCTATCCCCGCTCGCTGCCCTGTCAAACCACAAGACAAGGCCCCTTAAATCACAAGGCTGTTTGAAGACCTTCTTGTTTTATCTGGGAGTATAGTTTACAACTAAATTGAATCCACAAGGTCCAATTCAAAAATATATACGGCAGTCTCTTTTTTGGGGTAACTGACTATCCCATTTATCAACAGAGACAACATCAAGAAAGCCCACAAGGATTTGTTTTCGAGGGGCAATGTTTCCATTATTGTATGCATGAGGCCATCGAGGAGCTTATTTAGCGATATTTGGTAATGTAATGTATATCACGAAAGCCAGCCGACAGGCTAGGCTTGAGGTAGGGGAGCGAACGAAGTGAGTTAAAGGGGGTGTGGGGGGGGGTGGTCGCGAGGCGTCCAATTTCGGAGAGGTGAACTCAGAGCCTGGTGAGGGAGAACGAAAAAAAGAGGAGGCCCGGAGGTAGTGAAAAATGAGTGGTTTTAGCGGTGCTGTGATGCAAGTGATGTAATTGACGGCGAAGAGTGCATCATCAGCATCATGAGGGGCTCAGGAGGCCATGGAAAGAGAACAGATAGTAGTTGCGGCCAAGCTTAGCGTTGCTGCCGGACTGAGGAGGGCACCCCCTATGCGGTGGGAGTTCACGTGGATTGGGGGGTTGTGTGAGGGCAGGAGAGAGAAGAGATTGCAGCGCAAGCGTTGGAGGCGGAAGGCTTTGAATTGCTTAGGGGTGCCCTTTTTTCTCCGTGGCAAGGTCTAGTTACTGGACTCAAAAGGGCACCCCATATAGAGTGCATGATGCCATCTGTTGAGGGCCTGTGAGAGAACTGGACTGAAGAGGGCACTCCCTCTGCGGTGAGAGTTCACGTGGAAGGGTTTGACTTGCTTAGGGGCGCCCTTTTTTCACTAGGAGGATGACTTTGTTGAGTAGACTACGGATTTCAAAAAGAAACGGGCTTCGCCGTGCCACTGTGCAAAACTGCGTTGTGGGGGGGGCTGTGCAAAGGTACGAATGACATGTGTGTTCTCAAGATCCCGACTCTGAGACGAAAGCTTCCAAAGCTGAGAAGCACCTCTCCCATGGGTGGACAAAACGTCCGGAAAATGGAAGCTCCACATTCGAGCAGCGAGTTGTGACGTACCACTGTGAAACGTGGACATGGACCATCGTCGCGGGTGCTGTGGCAGTGCACTGGCCATGACGGCTTAGACAACGCTGTTCGGTGTCAAGGGAACAGGGGCCCTGCAGCTGCACCGTTTTGGTGAGAGCATGACCACGCGCCCGGTGATGACAAACCAAACTAAGCAATCAGCTCTTGAATTTGTGCAATCTTCTTGCTGTAACAGTCACATGTGCAATCTTGTGCAGTTTTTGAACTGTTTTGTACTTCTGAGACTGCACGCTGCATCCATACCACAGAGGTTGGCAGTTTGGGGCCACTTCAAATGCCAGCTGTTGCTGGAAACCATAGCACTTGCTCCAAACTACATTCAAAGCTTGAATGAGAACAAGGGGAAATCTAATCACGAAAGCCAGCCAGCAACTCACTTGAAACATAGACCAACACACCATACCAAATCTTCCCCCGACTACAGGCTCCACAACGCCCCGACATCAAGACGCAAAAGGGCACCCCGTCCCAAACCTATGTATTCTACTGTCTATTTCCATTCTTTCTCAAGTGACGGCCATATCCACTTCACCACTTCCAGCTCCTCTGTGTCCACTCTACCTTGCTCTCTTATATACATATATATATAATATATACAGTATGTATATATATATATCTCTCCTCACGAAAGCCTGCCGATAGCCACTCCCACAGGCCCCCCCACGACCGTCTTTGGCCACTGATTAGCAACACGCAGCCGGCAAACTCACATAAAGTCTTTGAGGGTGCCCTTTTTCACCTCCAAAACACCCCTGAACCTCGACGAAAAAGGGCACCACCCCTTTTACTGTTCTACCTTCTGTTTCTACCTCCTACGTATCGTGTACCTGCGATGCCAACTTCACCCCATAAAAGTACTCTTTACGCAATGTTAGCCTATCACTTCATCTTGCACACTCAAGTCGCTCCAATATCAACCTCACCACTTCCGGCTGCTCTTTGTCCACTCTACCTATGTACATTTACATATATGTATCCTCACCTACCCTACCCATAGCCTCGCACATGGACCCCCCACAGCCATCTTTGCTCACTGATTCGCAAAACGCCGCAGGCAAGCGCCCCTCACTTCCTTGCCCTTTTTCACCTCCAAAACGCCCCTAAACCGGGACGAAAAAGGGCACCCCCCCCAAACCTATGTGTTCTACTTTCTATTTCTACCCCCTATCAATGTGACTACGATCTCAACTTCACCCCATGCATGCAAGTACTCTTGGCCCGATGTTACCCAATCACTTCATCTTGCGCGCCAAGTCTTTGCCCAGGTTTGCCATAGTGTGCCCCCCTGGAACTGGAAGTGGAACTGGAACTGGAACCCCCCCCCCGGATAAAAAATAATCATCCACGCTAAACTGACGTTGGCAATCACGTCCAGACTCGGACCCAGAGTTGGAACTGGAAGTGGAACTGGAACTGGAACTCCCCTCCCTCCTCCCCAGTCTTCCGTGTTGGACGACGTGGAACTGGAACTGGAACTGGAACTCCCCTCCCTCCTCCCCAGTCTTCCGTGTTGGACGACGTGGAACTGGAACTTTCGTCCCCTCCCTTCTCAGGTATGTATATCTTATATATATATATATTACTGTACACGCACATGGGAGGTTGCAATGGACATCCCGCATGTTTCATGGTGCACTCCACTCAGCCGGACCTGAAAGTGATTTAGACTGCAGAGTCTCGAGCTGTTCTGCAAAAATGGCAGGTTTCCGCTGTTATGGAATATGTCACCTTATAACTTTCTGTCCGCATACAGTATTATATCCACCATTCGGAAGTCAAACGTCTCCATGTATATACTCGAAAACATCTCCATGTACTCAAAAACATCTTCATGTACTCAAAATCATTTAATTTGTTTAGTTTAGTGCTCTCTTCAGCAAATTTGGCACAACCCCGTAAAGCCTGCATCATCAGATCTTCCAATTTGACGCCGCCTCTATGTGCCCAAAACTGCTTTGCACTTATTTTGCAGGGAATTCAGCTTCCCCTCAAAGCCTCTTGGGGCAGGGGCTAAATGCTGGCCATTTTATTACACTGGTGTCCATTGTACAAATTCTCATGGTGTTGCTCGTTCAACTAACTAGTGGTAGTTAAATGTGTGGATTGGGTGTTTATGCTGGCCCCGTACCTGCAGCTGACTTGTTTGGCTTTTCAATAATTCACGTTCATGTGAGCTTTGAAGCCTCTAACATGACCCATGGAGCCAGGCTACTGAAGGAGGCACAGAACTACCAACTGCGACAGAGGCTGCCTTTCTTTCAGCGAGGGGATGGTTGGTAGCACCATTATTAGATTCTGTCAATTTAATCAGTGCTTATCCAAACTTTGGCCATCCAGAGGTCAAAGGCTTTCTTAGGTACGCCAGGTACGCAACACCCCACATCGGTTTTCTTCGAGGGTTTTGAGCAGTGCATCCAAATGTCTTTGCATATTCCTTGCCATGATGCATGTCAGAGTGAAAACCAGGAGGTCCATGAGCTTCTGAAGAGTATGCAGAAGGAGGTCGGGAGCAAGCATATCAACCATTTTCAGGGTGTCATGGAGAAGTATATTCTGAAGATGCATTTTTCAGCCTCACAAGCAGCGTCTTCCTTCCAGGCACGGGAGGCCTTCGAGGTAGAGAAAAAAGCAGCCGAAGACGTACGCCTCCAAGAAGTAGCACGACAAGAGAAGGTTGAGGATGTCTCGAAGGAGCAATGCCTGTTGGTTATTCTTGTGCACATTGATTGTGAGTAATTTGCGCAATGTTTTGCAATGTTGCCAACTCCTTTATACGTTTTTGTTGCCGTTCGTTGCTCTTGGCTATATGATGTGGATTGCGGGCGAGGCTGGGAGTGTTGCCTTGCACCTGATAGGACCATCTTGCAAAGTTGTCGCCGGATGAACTCAAGGTGCCATTCATGAGCACTGACCCACCAGGGATTTCTGAAAGTGAGCGTCCAAACTGCAAGCTGTTTCGACGTTTTCTCTATCAATCTTAAATGTTTAAAGGTAATATGGTTAAATAAAGCAACATCAAGGAAGCTTCCTGAGAAAGCCGATCCACTGCCAGGTGATGCTTACAAGATCTGAAGACGATGTTCAGCTTCTTCACAAGAAGGCAGAGGCCAGTTGGACAGTGTTAAAACAATTGTCCGAGGCCATCGCTATTAGGTTGGAGGCCATTGCTATTAGGTTGAACACTGAAAAAGGCCGGCTTTCGGCATTCGCTTCTTTCGGCCTTAGGAGCTGGAACAGGCCAGGATTGCTCAGGCCAAAGGCGGTGCTGACCGGATTCAGACGCTCCGCAAAACATTTTATGAAAAGTTGTGGTGTACTTATTTGGTCTTTCTCTCTTCCTTTCTTCCTTTTATCTCTTCTTTACACCTTTGGACTCTGGACTCTTTTTCCTTTGCAACTATCTTTTTTTCCTTTCTCTCCACCAAGCAAATCATGGGATCGGAGAGGAAGACACGGGGAGACTGGGAGACAGTGATGTGAGAGTTCTGATGCCTTTGCGCTCAGGAAAGCACAAAAAGCAGTCACTTGGCCTTCTTTGTGTACCTTCTCATAGGTCTGACTTTGTATGCTGTTGTAAAGGAGCAACTATCACAGTAATTAACACACTACAATATATATATATATATTATATATATTATATATATTATATTATATATATACTCATAAGACGACGCGTAGGTTTAAGTTAAGAGAGCACATGCCATTTGTTTTACACCTTTTTGCGCGACAGTGAGATAGCACTTACTCGCAAACAGATAATTGCAGTACCAGGATCCTGATCCCAAGCCTAAAGGATCCCTGCAGCTGACCTGGGCCTTCTGCACTCTTGCAGTCTCAACGAAGTCTGTTTGTCGGCCTCCTGAGCTCTTTCCACGCAGCACCACTCTTTCTATATACGGATGTCGGATGGAAGATCAGCAACAAGGCTCATGCATGGCCTACCTGCTTAGATGCCCTTGAGACTTTCCAACTTAGGCCCATTACTTTACGCCGTGGCGGCGGGATAATTTTGGTTGCCAAGCATGGCTCATTGGATACACTGATGATTGCTGGGCATTGCCTAGCCACAAAGACAGCTTGCATATACATCAACGAAGGACTAGCTGTCCTTCCCGAACTTCATCTGCCAAGAAGAAAGTCCATGTGTCTCCCGGGTGAGTGTTTCACTCAAGAATTCGTCCTCAACACTTGAGCGAGCGCAAGCGCAGTAGAAGGGGAACATAGAATAGGGATGAGTGGGAGTGAGTGGGGAAGTTTGAGCCAACTTGTTGTATGTTTTCTCATGCTGGCACATCAGTCTATATACTGTAAGCTTTTGGCGGAGCAAGCCGTTTGGGCGGAGACACTGAGCCTCGTGATCGATTTGAACTTTAACTTTCGGCCGAGCGCGGCAAAGGTGCAAATGGCACAAACTGCTGCGGCTTCGGGGAAAGGACCTTGCTGAAGTGTTGGATTCTGGAGCTTTGATCAGTCACAACCCAGCCAACCAGACACCCTTTTGACACATGTGTTTGTTGGAACAAATTTTGGAACATAGTGCGCCCTTAGCCACTTCGTGACGAGTCGAAAACATGTTTTTTCGCAGAAATATCAGGGGTTCCATAGCTGTTTATGCAATTTCGAACCTGTGGTAGGAGATGGTCCTTCAGACTCTGGCAAGAACATAAGGCATCCTTGCACATTTGGTTTCAATCTTGGTATGATTGCTCCAAGCCAATGTGAACTGAACTTGTCCAGACGCTTTAAAATCAGTTTATCTTATCGCCCGTGACTTGATAGTAGGTACTGTATGCGGTTTGCGTATTACAACTTATAACTTTGACCTACGAAAAGAACTTTTTTATTGTCCAGAAGTGTGACTTTCCCGCGTTGTGTTTGGCAGTCGCGCGCTGGAGCCAGACGTCAATCGATGCTTGGGTTCAACACTTGCGATTTACCAAGATGACAATTTGCTGCGCACCATTGTCATTGTCGCGCCATAGTTTTTCTAGTATGCTACCCTCAGCGTCGTTTGCGCAAAACAGTTGTTTGCGTTCTGGAGAGATGAATTCGTTATCAACATACTAATTTGCATCAGCTCCACACCGCCTCAAGGTAAGCACCACCAAGAGGAAAAGATACCACCTCATCAACTGCTTTCGAAGTTGGAAGATCAGATTCCAGCTGCAAAGAAGGCCAAGCGGCGCTGAATGGGATGCCGGTGCACTCCCAGTTCAACGTTGCAAATTGCTCACCAGGGCGTGCCGCATATGGACAACACCAGACGTTGCATATGTTTTTGATAGGAGGGCTGCAAACTTTCCTAATTGGTCCTTGCTGGTCATTAGCATATAAAGCGCCTAGCCCTTACAGCCCAGAAATTTATGGAGGTTCTGGAGGAACTGCAGCTGCACCATGACAAGTTCATGAAGAGCATTGAGAAGGCATGGCGAGCACAGTTTTCCCATCTCATTTGCAATGTGCGTTCGAGAGTTGTGGAATACTGCAGCTTTTTTGCCACCACAAGCAGATTGGGTTAGGCGCAACAGTTGCGGGAGCAACTGTCTGTGGACCCGCGAATCCTTGAGAGACGAATCAGTCAGACGCAGGTGCCTTGCAGGATAAACGGAGGCGTCTACCAACAGATGCAGGATGGGTTCAACCTTTATAATATAGGTTTTTCCATGTTTTTCCCGAACGTGTAGCGAAGGGTTCTTGTTTGTAGTCTGGGGGGTTGGGGGCTGGACCTGTGACTTTGGATGGAGCGTGATGTGTCAGATTCGTGCGATATAGCGTGGAAACGTATGGAAACGCAACGTTTTGTAAGTGTTGAGAGTGGGCCAGAAGCTTAAACCACATGGTTTTAGACATGCTTGTTCTTTTACAATATCAAAAAAACTATATATTTTTAAAACATATGTTTTAAAGAAAACTAATTGGTACCCAGTTTTTGGGTGTTTCGTTTCTATGATACATTTAAGTCAGACATGTTTGAAATCTTTATGAATACAGAAATTGAATGTTCATATTCTTTCGTATAAGTTTCTTCTTTTTATCTAAAAGACAAAAAGCTGGGCACCATTCAGTTTTCGTAAAGAAATCATAGGAGAAAATAAGCCATCAAACAATTCTTTGTGGCTGACAGCGGCTTGTGAGATCCCCAGTTTCCTTCGCTGTGAGGGCTGTGAGAGTGGGATTGGCGTTTAGAGAGTGGTTTGTTTGAGGTGCTGGATGTCGCTGCGACAGTGGACAGGTCTCAGCCAAAATTTGGTCGATGTTTGGATGCAAACTTTGTAGCGCGGGAAGCAGCTTCTGGGACCTGTGGCCGCAGAACTCACACCTTTGTAGTGCACATGTAGTACGGGAAGCGACTGTGGACTCAGAGCTGGCAACTTTGTAGTGCAAATTGTAGCGCGGGATGTGGCTGAATTACGTCTGTGATGCCGCTGTGCCATGCGGCTTTGCACGGCCTCAGTGGAAAGTGCATCTGCGTGAGTCTTTGAGTCCGTGCGATTGGGGAAGGAAAGCGTGCTGGTGCACACGCGGCGTGTCGCTGGGGAGCAGGATGATTGGCGGTGCCTACGACGAGGCTTAGTGTTACATTGTTGTATCTAGTCTAGTCTGTGGCACACTGTTTGGATCTGTTTGGCGAAATTGCATCTGTGATGTCGCTGTACCATGCGGATTTGCGAAACCTCGGTGGAAAGTGCGTTTGCGTAAGTCCGTGCCATGAAGGGAAGGAAAACATGCTGGTGTAGTCTTTGGCACGCCACAAGGGTGTCACGCGAGAGTATCCCACAAGAGTTTTCCACAAGGGGGAGTGTTCCGCAAAGGTCCCACAATCAAGAGTTTACCACAAGCCTGTCCCACGAGAGTGTCCCACAAGAGTGTCCTACAAGAGTGCCCCACGAGAGTTTTCGACAATAATGTCTTACAAGAGCGTCCTGCAAGAGCGTCCCATAAGTGCACCGCGTACAAGAGTGTCTTACAAGAGTGTCCCACAAGAGTGTAAAACAATGTGTGGCCGCTTGCTTTCGATTGCTTTCGAGTGCGCGGGTTCGTGGGTTCCGTTTTGTTTTTGACCCAGCTTCCGTTTTTGATGCTTTGTAGAATACAAAATCACAGACTAGAGCTGGAGTCCCATCAAACTTCAGGTCAATCCGGTGCAAGCTCCTGCCACACAGGCACGCGGCAAAGCTGGTTGGGTTGTCAGGTCATCATGTGGGTTCGGTCCATTTTTTGCTCACAGATTCAAACTCCCACGAGCGGTCAGCGGTCCTGCTATCTGATTTTTCAATCATATATGTTTTAACATTTTTTCTATTGTCTAACTATCGGAACCTCGCGAAGTGAGCCGAAGCTACCTGTGGTGTCATTGTTCCAAACAATGCACAAAGCTGACTCGGACTCAAGCTCTTCGGGCATTCACGTTTGCAATATGTTATAATGTGTTGCTGTTGCAAAGCTGCATCATTCTCCGCCTCATCCTGCCAGTCCCCCCAAAGTGGGTCGAGAGTCCTGCACTTAGCAGGGGAGATTGTGGAATGACTCATGAGAGTGAACTGGAGCTGACACAAACTTTAAAGTTGAAGCGTGTCAAGGATGTGCTTTTAGATGTTATCATACGTGAAACACATCAATGCTAGTATGATGTAATTCTCAAAGTTCGCAGACCTCCTCCAAAGTGATGCTAGGATGTGTTCTTTCTTTGCTCAGGTACGCACTGAACAAGCACAGAAGCCAAAGGAGAGCCATGTTCGAGCGCATTTTCGAATCCGCTTTGGTTGTGCTGTTTCAGCCACTGTGAATTCACTGGGCTCAAACCAACGAGAGGAGTTGGACTGGCGGGGTTGATTGGACATGGTTGGACCATTCAAGACTAGCACAGAGTGTGAACCTTCCGCCAAACAAGAAGAACAGACATGACAAGCCAGCCATGTGAAACTTGATTTGAACGGGTCGATTGTACCCAGTCTTTATGAGGCCAAGTGGCACACTCCCGTAGCAGGCGCTGAAACTTCAATTGGTTTCATGTTTGTTTCCTTTTCTGAGTGAACTCATGTAAAGAAGCATGGCACAGCAGTCAGGGTGAAGCATGGCGAAGCTGTGATGAAGCTGTCAGATGTGACAGATGTTCAGTGGGTGTGCTTTGTATTTGCTCCCTGGCCGAGACATGAGCCAACAACGTCGAAAAGTGCTGAAAGGCATCGTGACCTCCAATGGTGGCACCGTTTGCGAGGAAATCAGTACAGCTACGTCTCTGGGACTCAACGAAGCAGCGAAACGAAGCTGTGAACCACAATATTGCTTAGTATTAAGGCTTAATGAATGGTGTGAGAGAGAGAGAGAGTGTGGAATTACACACAAGAGTTCCACACACAGAGTACGACTTACTGACAATTTTTTCCTATTGGCTATTTGTGCATGTTCTGACATGTTTTTGTTTTTGCTTCAATTCAGGCATGTCATCATTGGTGCCGGAGTGCCAGAGACAACATGGTGTAAGTTCCCTGTAGAAGTTCGCATTCTGCAGGCCGAATGGTTAAGTGCCTCGTCGTTCTTTCTTGGATTTTGAATCCATTCGGTTTTACCATGTCCGAAAGGTTAACATGGACGGTGGGACACTTGACCAAGTGGCTCCAACCTGGAGAATGCTGAGGCAAGTCGGTGCAACAAGGACGTCTCCTCCCAGAGACTGACTTCCAGGCGACAATGCAACGGCGCCAAGAGAAAGAATTGCTCTTGAATGCAAACGCTTTTGAATGATCGAAGGTCAATCAAGTCACAAGAAGCGAGAATTGGGGTCTGGGCAGGTTCGAGTTGCCATTCCAAAGACAGTGTCTCCAGTCTCGTGCAGCCCGAGTCCTTCAGCCAGTCCTTTGGCCTCTCTCCAAGAGAGCAAAACAGAGGAGCTGAAGAGCCCCAACAGGACGGAACCGGTAGGCAGTTGCATTGATTAAATGTGGTACTGTGGTATGTCATCCATGAACTAGCAGCCACAGTACCAAACTAAGTTGTCTTATATTAGGGTTTGCTCTTCTGGCTGCTGACTCTTTAGAATGTTTTTCCGTGGCGCTGCCCCACTCCACTCTATACTTAAATATATATATATATATATTGAGCATGCCAGCTGTGGCAAACATTATAAGATATAAGTGAACTTCAACCATGTCTGTCCTGCAACTTACAGTAAATGGTTTTAAAGCGTGGGGATGCTTGGGGGGGGGGTCTCAGTCAAGTCGAGCTGGCGTAGAAAACCATGTCAGGAAGGACGGTAAAGGTCCACAGGACGACACACCACAAAATGTGCCTTGGCTGATTTCACACCATGAGTAATATGATATCGAATCATCATTACCAAAGTCTCAAAGTCTGTTGAGTGGCTTGATTTTAATCAACACTGCTTCAGCTCTCATCACTGATGGTGACTAGTGCCTGGAGGTGTTGAATCGCTGCAAAGCCAGCAGTAATCTAATATGGCATGTAGTATGCAGCCAGGAAAAGATCGCCGACCAGCTAAAGAAGCTTGCGGAGGCCTATTCGGCGCGAGGTGACCGATGGCGGAGCTGGCAGCTTGCCAAGGACGGACTTGCCGTCAGCAGAGAAGGTTTGAAGCTTCATCTATATACAAGATTCTACAAAGAGTTTCATAGAGTTTCCAACTGCACTTGGAATGAAATGGTGCATGGAGGCAGAACGGCTGGTGCGAACATGGCCAGAGCCTTTGAGATCTCCGGAGGACATGGTGCCCGGGCTTTCATCACGTTAAATCCACTGCCTCCCTGCGCAGAGATGAATCATCATGAACGAGACGGAATGTATGCATCTTCTACTATCATGTTTTTCATTCATTCTGATATGCTGTTTTGATATTGTTTTCGCCTGCTCTGCAGGACTTTGAGAGAATTTCAGGACTCGGACCGAAAACGAGGGAGAAGTGCAGAGAGCTGCTTGCCACTGGTGGACTGCAGCGCCTTGATGCGATGCAGGGCAGCTTGATCAAATTGATGGTCTTATAATCTTATATAATCATTATAAGTCCATTGAAGTCTATAGTGCTGCATGTCAAGGCCGTCCTAAGTTCTACTCAATCGACTTGCAACTCCTTTCATCATGGAACAATCACACTGGTGCCACGTCATTGAGGAGATGCAGCGACGCAGATCTTGCAGGAGATACTGTGGATGTTGAACACCAGAGGTACTGGTATAGGAACAAGGACGCTACTAATTAGTAGCAAAGGGCATCGCTACTAAGAGCAAGAAGCTACTAGTAGCTCCTGGCATTACTACCGGGTTACCAGGAAGAAGAAGCAATTTTGTCCCATACTTTCACAGCTCGTGCTCATGTGGTTTGTTGAATCATTGTGATGTGCTCAAAAGCTCCAAGGCTCATAGCACACAAAGTAGCCCAAACACATCCTGCACACAAGAAGGCAAACTCTGGAGACATCTTCAAGTGCTGCCATTGCAATCCTTCACCTGCAAAGTCAGCTGCGAGACATCTCCCAGGGCCCACACAAAAAGGGCACTGCGGATTCAAGCAACTTTTGCGAGCCTGCACACGAGGAGTCGACTTCCTGCCAGTTGCCGCATGAGACATCTCCAGGAAGATCTCAGACAGCAAACTCCCACAAGTCTTGCCACGCAAAGTCCAAACAGATGTAACCTTTCACAGTGGTTCGAGAATCCAATGCGCAACATGTCCACAGAGGTCATTGTGAGGTCTCGGCAGCCCCACTGCGAGAGAGAGGAAAGAATGCCGGGGAAAGAGCAGGCTATGACGGCTATGAGATTCTAGGATAGGAGGGGTAAACCAGCGTGTGAGATTAGATTAAAGCGAAGAAAGATGCCTTAGTGGCCTTCGAAGTTGTTTGGAAGAGCACTTCGTTTATGTAAGTATACAAACAAAAGGAAAGCACACAAACAAAACAAACTAACAAACAAACAATCAACCAACCAAGCAAGCAAGCAAGCAAACAAGCAAACAAACAAACAAACATGCCATCCCATGCCATCCCCCATCAATCCATCATAATATGTTGTACAACAGGAATTAAAAGGACTCAAAAGGGCTCTTGATGACTTGTTGAGGCATATTATATTTGGACATGGAGTTTGTTTGCCCGGGCACATATATATATATGTATGTTATAGAGAGAGACACGCAACTGTTGAAGGCGCCTTAAAGTGAACTATGTGAATCCCTCGAAATGCTGTCCCAGGAGTTCACATGCATCCATGGAGCTGGAGAATCCGTAGCCAGGAGGCCTAAGGGAGAGAGGGCTTTCATTTTATGCTTTGTAAAAGAAGTTTTTGCCCAAAGATTTGCGATTCAAACTTCAAACCGTCGAAATGTGCATTTCCAGATTGCCAGACAGTCTTGCATAAGGTTGCTGCACACACTTTGATGTCTCACTCCTTTCTGCAGTTTTGCTCAGCATTTGGAAAAGGTAACACATGTGGTCAACACCTTGGTCTGGCTATGTTTTGCAGTGCAAGACATATTGCGTGCAGGTGGTTCCAGGCAGGGTGCCGCAGCCTAGAAGAACTGCGTTTGCGACAAGAAGAGCTGCAGCTGACGCGGACGCAGAGGCCGAAGCACAGAACAACTTTGAGTGCCTTCAGCTCTTTGTGGGGTGAGCACGCAGGCAAATAGACAGTCACTCTTTCGATCTCAAGTCTTGGGTTTGGGTATATATATATATATATGTTCTCTAAATAAGCATAATTAAGGGCTTTTCTGATCGGCTGTTGATAGGTTTGATACTGTAGCATTTATGTTGTTGCTGCAGAGACACCAGCATTTTGCTCATCTTCACCTTTTTGACTCCCTGAGTGTGGGCTATGGCGGCTATGGCACTGCTGTTGTGGGGGTCGGTTCGGTCGCCACCGCTCCTCCCTTGCGTTAACTGATTTGTTTTGTAGAGGGTTTGTTGTTGGGGGGCGGGGTTGGTCGCCACTGCCGACACTATGTCTGTATAATGTCGCTGTGCCATGCGGTTTGGCTCGGCCTTGGCGGAAAGTGCAAGTGCGTTTGCGTGGCTCCGTGCCGTTTTGAAACAGAAAGCTTGCAAACATCCAAATCCAAAAACACCAATCACAAGAACCACCAGCAAAAAACTCACCCCCCTAGCAAAAACAACACACAATATTCTGAGACTCTTGGAGTCCTCCCTCCGGAAAATGGTGTGTGTGTGTTTCTTTTTTTGGGTTTTCATTTTTTTGTGGTGTCCCAGACTTCTGTATACCCCCCCCGAGACCCCAAGAAAAATGCTTCTTGTTAAAACAGTTAGTGGTGCCAGGCTGGGCACGCACAAACTTGCACTGCATAGAGAGCTCTAGCCCAGGCTTGGGAAGTCTGCATTTTAAAACACATATTTTACTATTTATTGTGTTTGATGTCCTTTGAACTTCCTTTTGAACTCCTTTTGACTCTTGTTGATGCCCTTTTGAAAACTCTTTGATATCAAAGGAGTTCTTTTAATCCCTTTGGTTACAATTGTTTTCCTTGTAAATGTCAAATTCCTTTTGGTTCTTGGTGACTCTATTCTTCTGGCATCAGAGCATCTGATACATAATGCAAGCAGGCAGGCTCTCATCTGAATCTGCATCTATTCTTCTAGATGCTTCTGGCGTTCTAACAACTGTTACATAATCTCAATGAGACATCACACCACAAAACCTCCCAAATATACAATTTCACAATTCGCCCCCAATGGCACCCTACCCTGCTTTGAAAATACTGTTTTCAACAATGGGTTTCTCTGATGGAAGTGACTATTGCCCCTTACTTTGCAAACTAAAACATATTCACACGCAACATACATACATGCTTACGTTTACCTCGTACAACACGTTCACACCACTCCACTTTCACTTCCAACGTTTTACCACAAAGCGTCACATTGATTCACTCAACAATCGACACGCACTTAAATTCATGCTCGCAAGAGCTATACCAGTTTGGACATTCCCGTGGGCTAGTTACTGAATGCTTAGTGCTTGACTTGCAGAACTGTAAAGGTGAGAGAGTCCGCATCAACAGTATGCTTTGAAGCAGGACGCACTAGCACTTTACGAGAAGAGGAGGGTAACAGCGTAGTCAACACTTCAACCAGAAGGGAAATTGAAAGTGCAGGTACTTAACTCCAGCGTCCCGGAAGAAGAAGAAGAAGATCAGCTCGGTGTAGGTGGCCCAAAGCAAAGACGCCATGTCCGCCAAACCTCAAACTAGTCCCATGGCGCACCGGCCATCCCTTGCCACAGCCAGTTAGGGTGTACCATAACACTAAACAACTCATCAAAATCCACAAAGACAACGGATCCACGAAAAACAATTGAGAATGGAAGATCTGACCCCAACATGCTCCATCACATCCGTGCAATACATCCATGGGATCACTCAGGATGCATCGAAGGCGTTGGCCAATAAACACAAAGAAAAAAAAAGGTGTGTATGGACAACTGGACAACTAAGGCAGGGACTACCGCTGTTAAAAGCACTCCCGTCATGTACAGGACTTGGGAATATGCACAAGCCCCTTCCCAGAGCGCGCTTTACTTCTTGCCCTTGCGGCCCTTGCCGCCCTTGCCACCCCCGCCACCTGTTGACAAGCATGTAGCTGTCATTCGGCGTCCACTTGGGAGCCCGGGCACCTAGCGCCTGGCTGGTATACCCGTAGAACCATCCATTCTTGTGCTGCACTCTGAAACTTCCGAAGTCCTTGGACAGGAAACTTAACATCAATAAGAACCGCAAGCCCCACTCCCTTCGAATCCAAAAAATCCAACATGTTCCGGGTCCGTACCACAGGATCAAACTGCGAGTAGACCGCCCCCCACCCCCGGGTGTTCCATGTCAAGAGCTTCAACTTACGGGCCGCCTTGCATTGGGCATCTAAAAGCTTAACCCGCCGTTCCCGAGCTCTGTTTGAACAAGTGTGTTTCTTAAGTTTGGCCAACTTTCGCCTCCGAGCCTGTAATCTGAATTGCTGACGAAATCTTCGTTTTTGCACCCTACTTTTACTTACATATGAGGGCTGTGACATTGCTTGTGCCAGATGCCTTTCCCCATGAGCAAGACAAACAGCCGCTGATCCCCCACACCAACGGTTCTTCCTAGCCATGGTGGACTCGACCTCTCAACAGAACACCCGTCAAACTGGCCAACCTTCTGGGATGACACCGTAGGACCCAAACAGACCAGCCCGCAAAGAAGCCTACCCAGCTCACCCACGATAACGTTAGGGTCAACCACGTTACCGTATTCCCCTGCCGGTCGCCAAGGGAAGAGCCGCCCGCGGGGGGGAAGCTCAACGTACCGAAACCGACAGGAGTCGCATGCTCCCGTTCTCCCCATAAACCATGCAAAGCAAAAATCAAGAAAATAACACCCAAACCCGGAGAAACGCCGGACCCCGAAGGACCGGAATGGGTTCGCCCTCGCCCCGCAGATCACTCTAAACCAACTAAACAAAAAAACAGACTTTAACACTAGATAGCCCTTCAACCCCTTCAACAAGTATTCACATCCCTCTCTACGCCATCTAGGCCCCAAGGTGCAGGCGAGGTTTTCCAGCGGCGCCCACGTGAAGGACTGCATGCTTAGCCGCTGCCAGCGTCCCGGAGTTAAATATATCACAAGCGAGAGATAGGTACACACACACCCATACACACCCGTCCGCGCACCTCTTTTCGCACACTCCCGCACTTCTCATGTTTGAGAACCTGTCCTTTGGGTCCTCTGGTTTTTTCGCTCGACGAACCGATCACGTTGGGATTGCTGCCAGCTTCGACCTTGTTTGAAGGTTGGGCCTGAAGTACGTGGAAGACTTCAAAAGACGCATCCCGCGAATAGAAGCCGAAGAGCTGATCAAGGCGGTGTCAGATGCCGCTGATAAGGCCTACGGCAACAAGCAGGCAGGTTTCCGGCCGACATCACTAGAGTCACTAGAGTCTTTATTACGTCTGAAGGTGGGGGGGAGTAGGCCATACCGATCGGACGCAGAAGGGTTCAGGCTTCTTCAACGAAGCTCCCTGCGCCTGAAGGCGCAGGGGAGCTTCCTTGAAGATACCAGTCCTAGTCCTAGTGGAAACGAAACTTATAGCGCTCCTCAGAAATGTCAGTTGCGCATGCTTGTCATTTACCTTTTGTGCGCACCAAAAGGGGCGCAGGTCAATTGACCAACCAACAGATACCAGTGTCATCCAGTGTCCTTCAACATCATAACACCATTCAGTGACAGCACCAGACTGATCTCAGGTGGAGCTCATCCCATGTGGCTCCATGCGACGTGGAGCTTTGTACGCAATCTTAACAGTCTTGACACAATGTCTTGAGCATTCTGAATTGAAGTCTCAGCCAGCCCTCAATATTCATACCAAGGAGCGCAAAGCATGTCAGATATTGATCTTGTTATTGCGCCATGCCATGGATGTGTGCTTGCTGGAGGCCACAGGTCTTATCAATGTTTTATCTCTATGTTTGGTTTTGATTTTCAACTGTATATAATACTATATAGCTCCGACAGGTTCTGACCATCCTTCCTTTTAAAGCCTCCTTCCATTTGTCTACGAGTCTACCACTTTCAATGCTAGTGGGATTCTTCACTGTGTAGGTGAGATGAAGTTGGAAGTTTGTCAGAATGTGTTTTTCTACAACTAGCATGACACTTTGTGTAATCACATGTTCTTCAACACGGACTCTGGGAACTTCCAGGCATAGTGACAGCCACTCAAAGTTTTGCCGCTGAATGTGTCACGGACGAGACACTGCAAAACTCTTCACAGATTCTCCGCCACTAGGCCTAGCACCTCTGCTAGCAGAGCTGCGAAGCATGGGTGTGGCCAAGGCTCTCGGAAGTGCCAAGAGCTGTCCAAGATTCAGATTGCGGTCTCCTTGATTCCTTCTCTTCATCTTGCTCTCTGAGATTTTTCATTAGAATCATTAGGCTCAACGTTTCGTTGTCTGAATGCACTCTCAGCATCTTGCGCTAGATGCTTTTGTGACCAAGTAAGTACGTTTCTTTCACCTTCTGCGACCAGGAGGAGCTGGGTGGTCACGCTCCAAATTCACCATATGACGACACCCAGCTGTGCAGTATGGGGAGTTTCAGATGTTTGAGACGTCTTTTAACAAGAATACCTGATGATAATAAGATAATTGCACTTTCGACCCTTCCAATTGCCCAGGACGGAGAAGAAACACATTTGGGAATCTTTCGCTTGCCTGCAGATGGAAATCTCTACAGGCGCTTAGGGACTGCATTGGGTGGGACCTTGCTTGCTGTATTTGGTTTTTGAGCAAGCTTTGCTTGCCCAGGCGAATGGACCTCATCCTCTCACGGAGAGAGCACTTGCCGCTGGTGTTGCTCAACTGGACGGGCTCGGGCCTTTTCCTGAGAGAGTTGCACCGCCTGGCAAGCTACAAAGGCCCGCACATGTTCTCGATCTTCTTTTTTTGTTTTCACAGAGCGAACGAGTGTTTAGACTGATCTCCTAAGAATGCAACCTCAATTTTCAGCCACTCCCAATGTCAACCATCTAAGAATTTCACGACGTATATCTGGGACAATCATCCATTGGATACTTTGCTGCCATAGTGGGTTTAGACATAGACATGTTTAGATTCTATATACCTAGCCGCATATTTTCTGCATGTAATCACGTAGACTACAATGTCATGAATCCATTTCTCGGCACTTTGGGCAGTTTGCCAATCTTGCTTTCGATGTCACATTCGTCAAGCAAACTTTGCTCAGAGAATGGCAGGACACCAATGGTAGCAAGTCCGCAAGTATGTGAGTTCACCAATTGATTGAACTTCTTTGAGTACTCAAGCACTCAGTCCAACTCCACAAAGAAACTTACCAAACAATTGGAGTCTTGTAACCCCCAGTGACCTGAAACGGTGGAGTAGGTTCGCACTGGCTCAGATATGACACATGTCCTCTGATTTCTGCCGCTTGCCCGGCCCGTTGGGTATTCCATGACCGGCTTAGGGAACTTAGGGATAGTTCAGGCCGCGGGAATATCACAGTCAGTGTCCACATGGGCCAGTAATTATACTCTTACTCTACACTCTGTTCAGGTCTAAAGATCAGCTCCACACAGCTTCTAGCACGAGACGCTACTGGCAAAGGAGTTCAGGCGGGACAGGCAAGAGTGTCTGAGACCTGATGGATTTTTCTGGATTGGTTACACAGTTGCAATAATTGTATTTTGCCAGGTGCCTGTGACTGAGGAGGCAGATGTTTTTGAAGCCTTGGGCTTGGCATATCGACCACCAGAACAAAGGGAGTGACTTGCCTGCCGTGTGGAGATGATAAAGCTGCCTTGGCAGGGCCATGGAAAAGGGGGGAGCAGGAAAGTAGTGTCATGTTAGCTAGCAGATATCGTACCAGCTATATATATTTTTTTTTGTCAATTCACTGTAGCAACCTAAGGTGGACCTTGTGTCAAGTCTAAGTCTCCAAAGTTCCGAAGAATGCTGGGCCCTTCTGCATTGGAGTGCTTTACATGTACAGACATGCACAGAGGGCTGACAAGTGCAAGGTTGGATGACAGCCTGATGCGCTTTGTGCAGTCCTCCAAGCCTGGTGCACCTGCTTTGAAGCGGCAGAAGAGTGAGATCCTTTGATTGGTGGCTGAAGGGTCAAGGCTCCTAGTAGCGTTCTTGTTCCTACTGTAGTAGTAGTAAGGCCAGGAGCCCCTAGTAGCGTCATGTAGCGTCCTTGCTCCTAGTAGCGATGCCAGGAGCCCCTAGTTACTAGTAGGGCCAGGAGCAAGTGAGGATGTTTGGAGTCGGAACAAGTCAGAGGGTCATACCCAAGCAGCACGCAGCACGCACCTTTAGTGTGGCGCACATGGCCTAGGAGTGCCTCCTCGTCGCTTCCATCTTTGCCCACTTCAATTCATTCTATTGCTGTGGACATCAGTGAAGATGAGGCCACTTGAAAAGTAGGGATGTGCCTTGTGAAAATGAACAAATACGTCGTGGATGTTTTAACTTGCCCAGCGGAAGGCTTGGTCTTGAATCGAATGGTTTTAACTGCTCTTGAAAAGCATTGCCCAAAGTGGCTGAAGCTAGGATGGCTCACGGTCTTTGGTGTAAATCGGGGTTCATTTTGTGCATCATGTTAATGTTAAGATTGTTAAGTCATTTCAGACTTGGCACACTTCCAAAGGAAGTGTGGTGCCGGCGACGCTGCGACGCTGGAAAAAGACGACACAGTTACGTTGCCGTCACGGTGCCTAGTACCAAATGCCGGTGCCTAGTGCATATAATACACATAAATATAGATACCTGCCAGCCCAACTGTGGAAGCCCCTGTCCTGACAGGAGTCCAAGCCAACCAAGGTCGACAGGTGGCTTCCGTGAGCAATCATTTGTGAAGCTCTTGAACTGTTAGTGAAGAGCACACCATCATTTCCTGTCCTGTTCAGACCTGCCAGCAGGGCCCCTGCAAGAGTGGTTGCCAAGAAGCCTTCGTCAAACGCTGAGATAACCGCTGCGACACATTGTTTTAACATGTTTTAACTTGTGCTTGCTTGCACCGCATGGTGGTCAGTTGTGGTAAAGTGTGGAAGGTGTTTGTCGACATGTCCTGCCCTTCATCATTTGATCACACGTATTGGGAGGTAGGCTTCCAGTTCGCCATTGGTTGATGTATCATAATATACGTCGTAATTCCCTTGCTTTCATGCATCCCTTGGATTCAAGAAGTATTCGGCAAAACGAAGCTTTTCACGGCCCCAAGGCCCGAAGAACTTCAGCTTCAGGAGGATTTTTTGTGTCGTTTGTCATGCAAGCGACATGAGTGGTGGAACTTGCATCGTGAATGAGTTTTTCACGCGAGGCATCCATTTCTGGGCACATCATTCTCATGTAATGTGCAAGCTGCAACAGTTACATTGTCGACCAAAGAAGCCTGTTTCAGGAGTTTCAACAACTTGAGAAGGAAGTGCAGCAGTCCAGAGAGAAGGTACAAAGACTTGCCCAGCATTTTTCCAAGGCAGTGGCTGGATCTAGTTTTAAGATACAAGGATCTTTGTGCGGATGCAGCACCTTTCAGAGCACTTGATCAAGCTTGCTCCTGACTCTGGCGGTCATCAACGCACCAGAACACTGGGTAGCAGAGACATGAGGCCATGAGCTTGAAGTCAGGTGTGCTGGGTTTGTGCCGCAGGTCATGGAAACAGAGGTGAGCACAGAAAGTCTCAGCGAGGATCTCACATCGGCGCTTCTTGAAGACAAGAAGTCCGAGCACCAGAAGAAACAGGAGATGTATAGGATTGACAGACAAACAAGATGCATTGGCATTTTGTTTGCCTTGGAAGTAGGGGTAGATAGCCAAGAAATATGTTCAGAATATATGCATTGCAGTGCAGGGCTGTTTGGAGCAATTTGAACAACATTTCGGCAGGGACTTCTGCATTTGAAGATTTTGGAATGCTTGACCATTTTGAGTCCATTTGTTTCTTTGATTTCCCGGTTCCTTGGCAGGACCACATTTCGCAGTTGCGGGAAGAACTGACAAATCTCCGCGGCTCTGTGCCGCCTGTGCTGGAGCACACAAGCTCTGGCCCTGTCGGAATCCTTAAGAAGAATAAAGACAGTGAAGGAGGCAAAGGGAAGGTGGAAGGTGGGGGAGCTGAACTGCAAGTGAGAGATCATCAGAAATCACTCGATACAAGAAAACACTTGCTTGAGATTAACTTGAGATCACTTGTCACAAACAACTTGGTTTGGTTTTACTTTACAAGTCACCAACTGGCTTGAATTCTGACTATGCTGCAGTCAGCATTGCAGCAAACCCAAGCGCAAATCTGGCACATCGGCGAGCCTCTCAAATGGATCCGCAATCAATGTTGGACGTGAGATCCCCAGATTTGTTAAACGTTTTGATTATGATTACCTCGTCAAGCACACATGCACCTTTATCGCATTGTATCGCTTTTCCAATGCGGAGTGAGGATCTCCGGAACAAGCAGATCGATCCTGCAACTTGGTTGCAAGACTGAACCTTAATTCTTTTGGGATTGGTCACTTGACGCACCTGTACCGTTTCTGGAAGATAGTGGAAGATCATGCGGAATATACAAGAACGTGAGCTGGCGGAAGCAAAGATGGTTTTAAAGGAGGGATCGAATGCAAAAGTGCTCATCGCAGGGTGTTTGGTTTAGCCCACACAGTACTTAGAACACTCTCAAGTGAATGCAAGTGACACAAGAAGGATGAATGAAGGAAACTGTGGAGTCTGCTTGGCCAGAATGTATGGTCTCAGGAGCTTATGCAGGAACTTTTGAATGCACAAGGCTTGTCGGGATTTGCTCGGGCTGAAACATATCCCGAGATTGTGGTAGGCAATAGCAGGTAATTGTTTTTTACGTTTGCTAAAGCAAGTTCCACATGCAGCTGTAGAAGACATTGTCCGCAGAGCTTGTGCAATATTGTAATATTACTGTATCAATGTCTACTCCAAAGGCAATTTACCGAGTGCAGCTGTGATCAGAGTGCGTGCCCGCTTTCGTTTGGACTATATAATATATATATATACAATAAAGCCCTGGCTGGAGAGATCAACACCGACAGGCAAAATTCGCAACCATTTCGCTGAGACTTATTCATTCTTCCATCCTGACAGTGTTACGTATGAATTATACAGGCTTGTTGCAGCATGCCTAGGGCAAGGTAACAGTGTATAGATTTGGAATACTGGGGATGGCCATTTGCTTTTCCGTTGGGCCGTTGGGCTTTGCAGGTGAAAATCTACAAATTCAAGAGCAGCTTACTACCATGGAGGATCAGTCTTCCTCGATCGATGGATGCCAAGAGAGACACAAACTGCCCAGTAATTATGCTCTTCATGGGGCTGCCAGGACTTGATCAAAGTCATCAGGAACAAAGGGAATGATCTCACACCTGAAGAAAGGCAGAAGATCAAGGACTTCGCCGCTGGGGGCAACTACCACAAGTCACAATCAAGCGCTATATCTAGTTTTCATGGGCCAAGGGGAGCTCTCATTCATGTTAATCTCCTTGCCACGCGGCGCAAGAATGGATTGAACAAAAATGCAATTGGATGATGCCAAGCTAGAAGGACCCCCTGAGATTTGAGTCAATTGAAGACTGCAGGAGCTCTTTGGAAAGACTGAGCAAAACGATCAGAGCGCGAAGGATCCCATTTTGCATTGATGCCGTGGGAGGATCCTCAATGTTGATGAGAGCTCTCATTGATAGTCCTCGTGTCAAATGTAAAGGGCTATCACCTTGGAGCCCCTTGAAGAGCTTGGCCGGGCCTAAAGTTTAAGGCACCGCATTTTTGGCATCATGCGGATCATATATGTAGACTCTGGACCGCATATTGTGTTTGGTGGCATCCTCTCGTTACCGCTAGCCTCTGGGGTTTCAGCATGAATGCTGGTCTTCCTGCATCTTCCTAGCATTTCCTAGCATGCGGTGCAGGGGCGTGAGCTGAAAGAAGAGAAGAAGAAAGTACGCGAGCTGCAGAAGCAGGTCGCACACTTCTTGAGGGAATCGACCTTGGGGGATCGAAACAGATCACATATCAAAGCAAGATGTGGGGCCGTTGACGAATGGCCAGGAGTTGTGAGTATCGAGCACCCCATGGCTCCCCGCCAACTGTTCTTTTCACAGCCAGATGGAAAAGTCTACATTGCCCACCCACAACAGAAGTCAGATGGTCATACTATCACAGGTCAATGAGCGGCGATCGGAGTGGAGCGACATTGAAGGAGCCTCGAAAGCTTCGCGGGGCTTGGCAGAAGGTGAGAGGGCGAGCGAAAGCTTTACCATGCAAACCATCACATGTTCACGCAAGCAAGTGAAGGGCAAATCACAGCACTTGCCTTCTCCAGCCATTTTCAGAGAGACAACAAATACAAGAAGGCAGCAGCAGTTGAAGACAGCTGGCCTTAATAAGGCCTTTGCCTTGAGTCAGTTGAGTCAGGCAATGGTGAGCTCCTAAAGAAGGCACGGGACCGCCCTGTAGCGGTGCATTTTCTTTGTTGGGCGGGGTTTGCTGGTACTGTATGAGGAGGCTTAAGTAGTAGCTAAATAAGTATTTGGAGTAGCTACTAGTAGCTGAAGTAGCAACTATTATCTTGGACTGGGAAGCCTGAGCCTCAATGATTTGGTTACTTTTACTGTTTTTTTGGACACGTTAACATGTATAGATAGCTTTAGTCTTAGTGTACATGCATAGCAGCATTGATCAAATGCATCGTGTGTAGGCATAGTAACTGGCATAGTATGAATTCATCGCTGTATGCATAGCTGTAGGTAGCCCAAAGAGGGCTATCCGAGCACAACAATAAAGATGAGCGACACAATGTACACTTTGTTGGACAAATCGTGTATGCCTTTGGTCCATTGCAAAATAGCTGTAGCGCTCTCCATCACACCGCAACAGCAGGCTACACTTATAAATTAAATCTCGTGGTAGCTTGGGAAAAAGTACCAATCACAATGCACACGAAGTCACAGTGAATGTCGAAACACGTCGAAGCGTGGACCTGGATCAATTTGTCACCGCACGGGCGAAGGTCGAGCCAGTCGACGGCTCAAGGGCCCTAGTCAGCCCAAAGGGAGCAACGGACACATGGAATGTCCTCAAA